TTTTTGCATCGATGTTGATCAGGGATATTGGTCTAAAATTCTCTTTTTTTGTTGTGTCTCTGCCAGGCTTTGGTATCAGGATGATGTTGGCCTCATAAAATGAGTTAGGGAGGATTCCCTCTTTTTCTATTGATTGGAATAGTTTCAGAAGGAATGGTACCAACTCCTCCTTGTATCTCTGGTAGAATTCAGCTGTGAATCCGTCTGGTCCTGGACTTTTTTTGGTTGGTAGGCTATTAATTATTGCCTCAATTTCAGAGCCTTCTATTGGTCTATTCAGGGATTCAACTTCTTCCTGGTTTAGTCTTGGAAGAGTGTAAGTGTCCAGGAAATTATCCATTTCTTCTAGATTTTCCAGTTTATTTGCGTAGAGGTGTTTATAGTATTCTCTGATGGTAGTTTGTATTTCTGTGGGGTCGGTGGTGATATCCCCTTTATCATTTTTTATTGCATCTATTTGATTCTTCTCTCTTTTCTTCTTTATTAGTCTTGCTAGTGGTCTGTCAATTTTGTTGATCTTTTCAAAAAACCAACTCCTGGATTCATTGGTTTTTTGGAGAGTTTTTTGTGTCTCTATCTCCTTCAGTTCTGCTCTGATCTTAGTTATTTCTAGCCTTCTGCTAGCTTTCGAATGTGTTTGCTCTTGCTTCTCTAGTTCTTTTAATTGTGATGTTAGAGTGTCAATTTTAGATCTTTCCTGCTTTCTCTTGTGGGCATTTAGTGCTATAAATTTCCCTCTACACACTGCTTTAAAAGTGTCCCAGAGATTCTGGTATGTTGTATCTTTGTTCTCATTGGTTTCAAAGAACATCTTTATTTCTGCCTTCATTTCGTTATGTACCCAGTAGTCATTCAGGAGCAGGTTGTTCAGTTTCCATGTAGTTGAGCGGTTTTGATTGAGTTTCTTAGTCCTGAGTTCTAGTTTGATTGCACTGTGGTCTGAGAGACAGTTTGTTATAATTTCTGTTCTTGTACATTTGCTGAGGAGTGCTTTACTTCCAATTACGTGGTCGATTTTGGAGTAAGTACCATGTGGTGCTGAGAAGAATGTATATTCTGTTGATTTGGGGTGGAGAGTTCTATAGATGTCTATTAGGTCTGCTTGCTGCAGAGATGAGTTCAATTCCTGGATATCCTTGTTAAGTTTCTGTCTCGTTGATCTGTCTAATGTTGACAGTGGAGTGTTGAAGTCTCCCATTATTATTGTATGGGAGTCTAAGTCTCTTTGTAAGTCTCTAAGGACTTGCTTTATGAATCTGGGTGCTCCTGTATTGGGTGCATATATATTTAGGATAGGTAGCTCTTCCTGTTGAATTGATCCCTTTACCATTATGTAATGGCCTTCTTTGTCTCTTTTGATCTTTGATGGTTGAAAGTCTGTTTTATCAGAGACTAGTATTGCAACCCCCGCTTTTTTTTGTTCTCCATTTGCTTGGTGAGTCTTCCTCCATCCCTTTATTTTGAGCCTATGTATGTCTCTGCGTGTGAGATGGGTCTCCTGAATACAGCAGACTGATGGGTCTTGACTCTTTATCCAGTTTGCCAGTCTGTGTCTTTTAATTGGAGCATTTAGTCCATTTACATTTAAGGTTAAGATTGTTATGTGTGAACTTGATCCTGTCATTATGATATTAACTGGTTATTTTGCTCGTTAGTTGATGCAGTTTCTTCCTAGCCTCGATGGTCTTTACATTTTGGCATGTTTTTGCAATGGCTGGTACCAGTTGTTCCTTTCCATGTTTAGTGCTTCCTTCAGGGTCTCTTGTAAGGCAGGCCTAGTGGTGACCAAATCTCTAAGCATTTGCTTATCCGTAAAGGATTTTATTTCTCCTTCACTTATGAAACTTAGTTTGGCTGGATATGAAATTCTGGGTTGAAAATTCTTTTCTTTAAGAATGTTGAATATTGGCCCCCACTCTCTTCTGGCTTGTAGAGTTTCTGCTGAGAGATCTGCTGTTAGTCTGATGGGCTTCCCTTTGTGGGTAACCCGACCTTTCTCTCTGGCTGCCCTTAAGATTTTTTCCTTCATTTCAACTTTGGTGAATCTGGCAATTATGTGTCTTGGAGTTGCTCTTCTCGAGGAGTATCTTTGTGGCGTTCTCTGTATTTCCTGGATTTGAATGTTGGCCTGCCCTACTAGGTTGGGGAAGTTCTCCTGGATGATATCCTGAAGAGTGTTTTCCAACTTGGTTCCATTTTCCCCCTCACTTTCAGGCACCCCAATCAGACGTAGATTTGGTCTTTTTACATAATCCCATACTTCTTGCAGGCTTTGTTCATTTCTTTTTCTTCTTTTTTCTTTTGGTTTCTCTTCTCGCTTCATTTCATTCATTTGATCCTCAATTGCAGATACTCTTTCTTCCAGTTGATCGAATCGGTTACTGAAGCTTGTGCATTTGTCACGTATTTCTCGTGTCATGGTTTTCATCTCTTTCATTTCGTTTATGACCTTCTCTGCATTAATTACTCTAGCCATCAATTCTTCCACTTTTTTTTCAAGATTTTTAATTTCTTTGCGCTGGGTACGTAATTCCTCCTTTAGCTCTGAGAAATTTGATGGACTGAAGCCTTCTTCTCTCATCTCGTCAAAGTCATTCTCCGTCCAGCTTTGATCCGTTGCTGGCGATGAGCTGCGCTCCTTTGCCGGGGAAGATGCACTCTTATTTTTTGAATTTCCAGCTTTTCTGCCCTGCTTTTTCCCCATCTTTGTGGTTTTATCTGCCTCTGGTCTTTGATGATGGTGATGTACTGATGGGGTTTTGGTGTAGGTGTCCTTCCTGTTTGATAGTTTTCCTTCTAACAGTCAGGACCCTCAGCTGTAGGTCTGTTGGAGATTACTTGAGGTCCACTCCAGACCCTGTTTGCCTGGGTATCAGCAGCAGAGGCTGCAGAAGATAGAATATTTCTGAACAGCGAGTGTACCTGTCTGATTCTTGCTTTGGAAGCTTCCTCTCAGGGGTGTACTCCACCCTGTGAGGTGTGGGGTGTCAGACTGCCCCTAGTGGGGGATGTCTCCCAGTTAGGGTACTCAGGGGTCAGGGACCCACTTGAGCAGAGAGTCTGTCCCTTCTCAGATCTCAACCTCCGTGTTGGGAGATCCACTGCTCTCTTCAAAGCTGTCAGACAGAGTCGTTTGCGTCTGCAGAGGTTTCGGCTATGTTTGTTATTGCCCTGTCCCCAGAGGTGGAGTCTACAGAGACAGGCAGGTTTCCTTGAGCTGCTGTGAGCTCCACCCACTTCGAGCCTCTCAGCAGCTTTGTTTACCTACTTAAGCCTCAGCAATGGCGGGCGCCCCTCCCCCAGCCTCGCTGCTGCCTTGCCGGTAGATCACAGACTGCTGTGCTAGCAATGAGGGAGGCTCCGTGGGTGTGGTACCCTCCCGGCCAGGTGTGGGATATGATCTCCTGGTGTGCCTGTTTGCTTAAAGCGCAGTATTGGGGTGGGAGTTACCCGATTTTCCAGGTGTTGTGTGTCTCAGTTCCCCTGGCTAGGAAAAGGGATTCCCTTCCCCCTTGCACTTCCCAGGTGAGGCAATGCCTCGCCCTGCTTCAGCTCTCGCTGGTCGGGCTGCAGCAGCTGACCAGCACCGATCGTCCGGCACTCCCCAGTGAGATGAACCCAGTACCTCAGTTGAAAATGCAGAAATCACCGGTCTTCTGTGTCGCTCGCGCTGGGAGTTGGAGACTGGAGCTGTTGCTATTCGGCCATCTTGCTCCGCCCCCCTAGAATATTTTAATGGGTAGATAGGCTGTGGAGGAAGCTGGCATATTTTTCTCATTCCTGATTTTAATGGAAATGTTTTAAAATATCACCACTAGGTATGGTGTTTGCTGTATTATTTAGTTTAGTGAGTGTCTTAGTCAGTTGGGTTGCTATAGTGGGGTGACTTTAAACAGCAGACTTTTTTTTTTTTTTTTTGGTTACAGTTCTGGAGCCTGGGAAGCCCCAGATCAAGGTACCAGCAACTTTGGTTTCTGGTGTGGGTCCACTTTCTGCTTAGCAGATGGCTGCCTTCCTGCTGTGTCCTCACATGGCAATGCCTGAGACATTCTTGTGTTTCTTCTTATAAGGGCACTAATCCCATTCATGGGGTTCTATGCTCATGACCTAATTACCTCCCTAAGCTCTCATCTTTAAGTATTTTGTGTAAGATTTACTTTTTTATGGCGGTGATATTGTAATCAATAGACATGGTTTTTTTTTTTTTCCTCATCAACTTTATACATAATGAAAACTTTGGCTATCTTTGATCCAATTTCTTTTGGATATATGTTATTGAAACTTCATCCCTATATGTTGCTTATTAATAGATTCTGAAGTCAATTTTTTTTTTTTGTTTGAGATGGAGTCTTGCTCTGTCACCCAGGCTGGAGTGCAGTGGCAGGATCTCGCCTCACTGCATCCTCCTTGTACCACATTCACCCTATTCTCCTGCCCCAGCCTCCTGAGTAGCTGGGACAACAGACACCCGGCTAATTTTTTTGTGTTTTTAGTAGAGATGGGGTTTCATTGTGTTAGCCAGGATGGTCGTGATCTCCTGACCTGGTGATCTGCCTGCCTCAGCCTCCCAAAGTGCTGGGATTACAGGCGTGAGTCACTGCCCCCGGCTTGAAGCCAAATTTTAAAAAGTTGAATATGTTACAACACGAAGGCTCATGACTAGCCTGATGAATGTTTTTAAAAGTACAGAAACAATGGAAATTGGAAAGATGTTATCTTACTATCCATCTGCTAAGACAGTGTGAGGCTTTCTCTTTACTGACTAGACATGTCTGGTCTTCTCTTCTATTTCAAACCCTCTACTCTCTTGGCAAATTATCCCATTTTTTTGTGATAAAATGATCTACTTTAAATGATTTTTTGTAGGGACATAGAAATGTAGACAGACACTACCATATTCATCAGTAGCAAGATATTATTCTTACCTGCCTGCTGTTAATATTTGTTTGTTTCTGTCTTTTTCAATGTCCCTCTATTCCCAGCAGAGAGAAGACTATCAGTATGAAGAGGGAGAATCAGAGCAGCACATCCGAGTTCCTCCTCCTGGGCCTCCCCATCCAGCCAGAGCAGCAGGCTGTGTTCTTCGCCCTGTCCCTGGGCATGTACCTGATCACAGTGCTGGGGAACCTGCTCATCATCCTGCTCATCCGGCTGGACTCTAACCTTCACACCCCCATGTATTTCTTCCTCAGCCACTTGGCTCTCACTGACATCTCTCTTTCATCTGTCATGGTCCCAAAGATGTTAATGAGCATGCAAACTCAGGATCAATCCATTCTTTATGGAGGGTGTGTAACTCAGATCTATTTTTTCATATTTTTCATTGATCTAGACAATTTCCTTCTCACTTTAATGGCATACAATCGGTATGTGGTCATCTGTCACCCCCTCTGCTACACCACTATCATGAAAGAGGGACGGTGTAACTTACTGGTAGCAGTGTCCTGGATCCTCTCCTTTACCAATGCCCTGTCTCACACTCTCCTCCTGGCCCCACTGTCCCTTTGTGCTGACAACACCATCCCCCATTTCTTCTGTGACCTTATTGCCCTACTCAAACTCTCATGCTCAGATATCTCCCTCAATGAGCTAGTCATTTTCACAGTGGGACAGGCAGTCATTACTCTACCACTAATATGCATCTTGATCTCTTATGGCCACATTGGGGTCACCATCCTGAAGGCTCCATCTAACAAGGGCATCTTCAACGTTTTGTCCACCTGTGGCTCCCACTTCTCTGTGGTGTCTCTGTATTATGGCACAATTATTGGACTGTATTTTCTCCCCTCATCCAGTGCCTCCAGTGACTAATTGTCTCTGTGATGTACACGGTGATCACGCCATTGCTGAATCCCTTCATTTATAGTCTAAGGAACAGGGACGTAGAGGGATCCCTGGAGAGACTCTTCAACAGGACAACAGTCTTATCTCAATGACATTTGCTCTTCTTTATAATAGACATATGTATTGACCTCTCTCCAAATGATAGATCCTTAATCCTGATCCCAGCAAGGGATAAGTGCTCAGTAACTCTCTGATGACTTGAATTGCATTCTGTTACAGTTCTTCTCTCTTTTCCTCTGTAGTGTAAATTGTCAATTCTGAGTTTATATAATTGGTTATTTATCTTGCCTATTAGATTCAGAAATTACATAGTTAACAGAACTTAAATCTTTGCTTTTATTTCCTGGAAATTTATTTATTTGTTCTTATGAATAGTTTAAATATGTTGACTAACAGGCTTCCCTTGCCATAGAAAAGTTGAAGGATTGAGTACTTGTAAAGGCATTTTCCTTTGTTTCTTCCCATTCAGTTCTCTTCTCACATTTTTTATTGCTGTTGCTGACAGTGGTGGGTCAGGAGAAGAAACTATATAGTACCCCTTACAGATTCATAAAGCTATTCACTGTCATAAGTTCAGCTCTTCCACTTCAGGACTTGAGGTTCCTCTTCTAGACTACAGTAACTTTCATTCAACAGTTCACTTTTACACCAGCTGTCTATGAAGCTTTCTGACTACACATGTGAGTTTCAGTCATGACACAGACTCACTCCAGGTAACGAATGAGAAGAAAAAAAAAGTATTAACAGTCAGGAGTGGTCTGTTTTCCTCACTAAAATTGATCCCTTTTCCATTCAGTCTCTTCATTGTCTTTCTTATTGAAAAGTATTTCTACTCAGCTTAATGGCCCCTGGTTTGTATTATTTGCCCAAGTAATCATCTATGATTCTCTTCTATCTTCTATGTTCTTCACCATCCAGTGAAGGGCACATAGGTCTCTTTTTTTGTTCCTCTACTTAAAGATAAACAGAGTTACAAATGCTTCTGAGAATCAGCAACATGTAGCTGCAAGAAAAGAATATTTGGAAAGATAGATCTCACTTGTATCTGTATATACCAGGGTGGTGGCTGTGTGGCCTCAGACAATTCACCAAACTCCTTTGAAACTCAATTTCTTCTTCTGTATAGGTGAAAAAGTTCTGCAATATCTAACATATTTTTATTTGAAGTAAGTGCAGTAATAAATTGGGCTTAACACTACAGCTGGCCAAGAATAATGAATGTTAATTTTCTATAACTTCTCCATCAGAGATGAGTTTTGAAGCAGAACTTGTGCAGACACTCCTGAATTATGGTGACCATGGGCAACTTGTCATGTTGGTTATATTCCCAGTTCAAAAGCAATAATGTGCCCTAGAACACAGCAAGCTATCTATTCTGGCTTGATCCAGAACCAAATAACTAAAGGGCAATGAACGAGTGAGTTGATGTGTGGGTAGGTAAGGAAAGGCAGATCAGAAAAATACCTTACTCTTCACTTGCTTGATATTGACTCAAAGAGTGACTGTTCATTGGGGGCTCATGTAGCTGCATTTTGGCATCCCAGATTCCTTTGTAGAACAAGAAAGAGTGTTACTACCACCCCTTGCTGCAAACACAGGGTCACTTTGTTTACAGGCTTAGCCCCTACTTTTTCCAGAGCCAAAACCTGAACAGGGATAAATTCTTTATTGTTGGTCTAGATAAAGCGTGCCTTGGTAGCCTCAACACACTCATGAACTACTGTATACTCTCATCCCTGCTACAGTGATGTGATCTGTAGAACAGAGTGCCTGACTTATTTTCCCTGCCACATTCCAGTTCTGTTGTTCAGATCCCTGAAGGTCTGCCTAGTCTTGTCAGTCCCATCCTCCAGAGAGGCCAATATTGTCATTTATGTTTTTAGCCACAGGCTGGTGACACTTCTCTGAATGGCTTTTCCTCAACAAATGGCAAGCTCACTTGTCTGTTAGGAAGTGTTTTATCACTATCTGTCCTACTAGTCCACCCCATCTCCTAGATCAGTTTGCTTTGGTTTTGGACAGCCCAAAGGACACTGGTGTACACTGTATTGATTTGAATATGCAAATAGAACTGGACATCAATCACATTGGAAGCATGCAATTTATTTTAGTGCATTTCACTCTAGCAATGCCAAGGCTAAGATTCATGACCTTCTCCAGTGAAGCACCTCATTGAGTTTAGAACAAAGGTTGCTGCATTTTTGAAATCCATGAATGTGTGATTTGTTCACAACTTAATAAATAGTTCTGAAAATTGGCAATTATTGATGTTTCAAGTGACCAGTGTACATCCTTCTCAAAAGTTGATATTAGTTCTTTCACAGTGTGACAATAGAAAAACCTTTTTCGGAAGGGAGGAATCAAAATATCCTAGAACCCAGAGCTCCAGCACTTGATTTTAGCACATAACTCTGACATGGGAATTTTAAGAGTAAACAAAAATAATTCTGTTTTCTCACAGATGGAAAGCAGAAGGGGAATTTGCTAAAGAATTAAGTTCACTTAGCTTTTGAAGGAAAAAATAAATGCATCGATGTTGTGTCGATTAGCATCTTTGAATCCAAGAACTGTGTGCATGTGTGTGTGTTTGCGTGTGTGTAACTCACATATACATACAACTTAATTTGTATTTAATTAAGGACAAATGTTGGAATTATACTGAAAATAGTAAAACATTATTTATTTTGTTGATTGCACTCCTCAGTATCCATTCTGCAAGTTACCTGTCTGTGTCAGGCAGTGTGCCTATCCTTGGTCAAACAGAGCTGGATAAAGAGAAAGCCTCCAAGCAAAAGAAGCTCATAATCTCACAGTGTAGCGACAGATGAACTAAGAAATATGCAAGAGTACAAAAAATGCCTTAATATGATAACACCACGAATAGTTGTGCTTTTTTTTGCATGGCTACTGCGCGTCAGGCATTTTATTAAAAGCTGTACCTGTATTATCTCATTTAATCCTGATAATAATTTTATATACATACACTCTTGTCATGTATATTTTACAACTGGAGAAATTGAGGCTTAGAGATGATGTAATACTTACATGGTAGTAACACAAGGGAGTATAGTTAATGCTGCCTGGATATCAGCAAAAGCTTTACAGGGGAAATAATTCTTCAGTTGGGAGTTGAAGAACGCTCAGGATTGATACATAATGGAACAAATGAATCTAGGTATAGTGGACAGAGTGGGCCAGGACACTGAAATTGCGTGGTATGTTCAGGGGAATGTAAGAAAAATGATATTGCTATACATATGTGTGTATGAGTCAAGGGAGCATCAAGAACTGCGTCTAGACAGGGAGACAAAGACTATATTGTGAGGGGAGTAGGATGTCCTGTTAAGAGGTTTAGACATTGCCTTGCCAGTGACAGGCACCACTGGCTAGGGGTGGGGTCGAATAGGGATTAGTCCCAGGGAAGGTTATATTTGTGTTTTCAAAAGATTACTCAGGTAACCAATGTGTGAGATGGTTTGGCAATGGATTGGAGTGCCTTGAGTCAAGAGGCTTAATTAGAAGGTCATTGTACATCCAGGTAACAGATAATGTGTGCCTGGATGAAGACAATGGCGTAAAGACAGAGAAGAGAATACCCTTGAAGGTAGACTAGACAGTATTGGTAATTGATGGGAAGTAGGTGATAGAATGAATGATTGCTCTCAATTTATGGTTCTGTGGACTGATATTTAAGAACAAAATGAAGACTAGGTACCTTCAATAATTTTGATTAGGTCTAACAGTCTTGAGGAAGTGAGGAAACAAATTGAAGACCACTTGCTTCTTAAAAATATGTTCTGAGCAAGAAGAAAGTAAAATCCCTAAACAGGCAAGGGACACCAGGAAGCTTTCTATTATGCCACCTCTCTCCATTACCCGACCTCTGATTCAAAGCACACCCTGCTCACATTATCCTACCAAGGTGCAAAGATTTCTAAGTAACCTGTATGTCAGCGGGAATTATTTTAATGCAAATATCACATTAATTCTCTTTGACATGGATGACCTTAAAGGAATAGAAATTTGAGCTTAGGTTTTGGGGATAGGTGTAATAAGATAGTCATGTGCCTCATAATGATGTTTTGATCAACAACAGACCCCATATGCGACAGTGGTTTCAGGCTCATAAAGGAACTGAATAAATCCTATCACAGAAATACTTATATAGTGTTACAGTTTCCTACAGTATTTAGTATATTAACAAGCTGTACATGTTTTTAGCGTAGGGGCATTAGTTATACAATATAGCTTAGCTGTATAGCAGGCCATCCCATGTAGGCGTCTGTAAGTACATTTTATGATGTTTGCACAATGACAAAATTGCCCAGTGAAACATTTCTGAAAACATATCCTCATAGTTAAGTAAAGTATAACTGTATATCAAGGGAGGAATAAGTTTGGAAGTTTGAATAAATTGATAACTCTTGGCTGGCTGGAATCGTGATAGGCAACAGTGTCCCTTGATGAATCTTTGTATGTTCAGTGCTGCCCTAACTCCTAACGGCCACATAATTACATTAAGTAAACAGAAGTTGACACCCAGTCACATCTAGTTTTCTTGGGGCCTGTGAGAAATAATTTAAACCATACCCAAATAGGGTTCAGAAATTTACTACACTATCAGTGAGTGCATCGAGGGTCCCAGAGGATCAGAATGGTGAAAGAAACCAGAAAGCTACCTAGAGAAACTACCACAAGTACAGAAGTTAAAGTTGATTGGGGGAATCTGAGCAGCAGATTTAGGGTATCAGGGTGGACATAGGTTTCAGATACCTTCTTTCTCGCGTTTATTTGAGGACCTTTCCTTTGTCAACGTAGGCTTCAATGCAATCCAAAATAACCCTTCTCTGATTCCCCAAAAACCATGGTAACAGACTGCTCCATGGAACGGAAGTGTAACTCTGTGAGATGAACTCACACATCACAAAGCAGTTTCTCAGAAAGCTTCGTTCTCCTTGTTATCTGAGGATATATCCTTTGTCACCATAAGCTTCATTTCACTAAGAATTATCCTACAGCAGATTTCGTGACAACAGTGTTAGCAAACTGATCAATGAAAAGTATAACTCTGTGAGTTGCATTCACA